TACACATTCACACACCGATGCACAGCATCGGGAGCAATTCGGGGTTCAGTATCTTGCTCAAGGATACTTCGACATGTGGTGGGAGGAGCCAGGGATCGAACCAGCAACCTTCCGATTAGTGGACGACCCGCTCTGCCTCTGAGCCACAGCCGCCCCATATATAATCCTTGATCCAGAGTTAGTTGCACCAAGTTATTACTTTTTTCCTCTGTGGGAGCAGTTCTGCTTCCCTGTTTCTAAAAATAACAAGTGCTGCAAACATAACACCGAATTCACACATTTTAAAGATGAACTGACAGTGAACTATGTATTTACAGGGTAATATCAGGCATTGCATTGGTACAGCTCCATCTGTTTTGCTTTTTATTGCGTTAATACACCTAACAATGGTTTGTTAAAGTGGTTTGCTCAGTTGTTGCCCTTGCCAAGTCAGAATGGCTATTTAATGGGAAAATCCTACACGCAGACTTAAACTCTATGGGACACCAGCCGCCCCAAGCCATTAGAGACAGACTGTCTGCTGATCTCTAGAAAGTAAAGGTGTTTGTCCTGAGTGTCCCCACTGTGGGTAATGACCCATCTGGTCAGTGTGTGCGCGTGTGTGGGAGTACATGTGAGTTGACATGTCAGGTACTAATGATGACGGATGGCGGTGCAGCCATCATGGCAGGGGGTCCATATACAGCACAGTGCACACTTACAAGCATACACGGAAGGCAAAGTTGTTAACTGAAAGTCACTGGATAAATTATAGCATGTTAGAACATATTTTCAGTCATTTTAGTAGCCATATATTACATAAACAGAGTTACAACAAATGCAAGAAAATGCGAACTTAAATAGACTAATTAAAACATTAAAGAGAGGAGAGGGAGCAGAGCAAAATGTTCAAGCAAAAGAGAGGACAAGAAGGAAAGGCGTAGGTGCGAGTCTTTGACAGGCGGGATACGTTCACCTCTCTCTCCACAAATCCAGTCCCACATTTATCAGACTCTGCCTCACCCACTCTAACCCACCGCCCGGCGAAATAAGGCATCACAAAGTATTACTCTGGCAGCACACTCAAGTTCATATGCAGGTGAGTAACTCCCATCCACTCAACTGGCTCCAGTGTATCAATGTGTGAGTGTGTGTGTGTGTGTTTTGTGTGTCGTGTGGTGGGCCTGTGGTGGTGTGTGTGTGTGTGTGTGTGTGTGCGCCAGTCTGCGATTAAAGCTTATGTTCTACTGCCCTCTATGGGTGAATAGATAAACTGATGAATTATAATGAGAGAGGGAGGAGGGATTGAATCATTTCATCCTTAATCGACTGTACTTCAATAAATCCAGAATAAATCCAAAGTACTTACCTTGACTCAGTTCTCACTGTAAAGCATGGTGCTCTATTATGACTCATTCTCAATCTGCAGTTTTCAAATCCTATTGTGTTAAGACTTTATCTGAGTCAGAGTGCAGTGAAGAAAGAGGACAAGCTCTTTAACTGCCAAAGAAAAATAATGGCTGCTCAAGTATTAATTTACTCCTGAAACATGTCAAAGCACCAACATTATTATGAGTGTTTTAGTGTAATCACAACAACGTTATATGATAATATGCTAATAAAATAGGCAGATATTGTTAACAGATATTGTGAGGTTTCAGTAACTGCGGGGGCATGCAAGCAAATACTGTAAACAGTATTACTCATTCATAATTTGGTTAAGTAACTCTCAATGTACTTTATTGGGTGTTGTTGAAAAAGAAAAGATAAAAATCATCACAAAGTGTTCTGACTCATTTCCCCATTGGGGATTAATAAAGTACTTCTTTTTTTTTTTTCAAAACTGTTAATACAGCTTTTCTCTTAAATGTTTCCCACACAGATTTATTTCCTCTAGTCCACAGTAACAGTGGGGAAAATTGATTGTGTGTGTGCTGCAACTTGAGTTACATCTCTTACTCTTACAATCCAAAACCCCAGGATTAACTTTATGTATGTACACCAACTACAAATTATTAACATGCTCTCGAAGTTTCCTGCCTCTCTCAAAAGCAGAGTTTTTGAGAGTTCACAGTGTGTGCTACAGCACTAATAGTAGGTAAAGCCCTCTTGTTCTGGCTGAGAATTATTATTTTTTAAATTTTCAGGTGATCTGTCCAAATAAATTGCATAAACACGAAATGACACTGATGGCTGACGTGTTAACTGACATGTATTAAAGCAAGACTATTTAGCATATGAAAGAACAGACCATCTTCCTCTTACAAAACTTGAATTCATTATTAAAAATGCACCTTTGCTTCATTCAAGGCTCTCAGCGGTTTCTCAGCCTCATTTCCAGCAGCATTTAGGCAGCTGTGTTCAGCACAAAAGCTCAGAAAAACCCACTGTACACACGCTATGTTCCCACAAACAGACAGATAAAGTTAGCAACTAGCTGGTGAACATGACAGAATATCTAACAGCTAGAGCCAGATATTTACCTCAGGAGTTGATGAAGAACAAAACAGAGCAATAATGAGAGTGAATAGCCTATTGGACTTCGATTTATGAGTTGGCTGGAAAGACTCTAAATGAATGCTACTGTTGCTGTTTAAATAAGCAACTGTTTGCTAAACCGTTCACCATATCAACTTTAATAAGGTGATAATATGTCAAAGCTGTCTTTGCAGCTTGTTGCGCTGCCCCCAAGTGCCCAAAAAATCCAATAATGCAGGTTTAATTGCCACTTGTGGTCACAGTGGCTACTGTTCAGAAAGTTACACAGACTCACATTAAAGGACTATATCCCCCACAGGGGCAGTGCTTGACATTGATCCCAGCCTGGTAAAGATTTGATTTCCTACACTTCTCATTCATCTTATCTTAGCATGTAGAGCAGCACACGGACACAAACGCCCACCAACACAAACGTGTACTCGCCTTCTTTTCCTCTTGCTTGGGCACGAGTTCGTGGTAGCGAGGGATGATCAGCTCAGCTCGGCCTTTCTGCTCCTTTTGAAGGTTCACATTCTCGTAGTACGTTTCTAGTTTTCTGAGACAGGCAGAGACAACAACAATGTTTTTGAGAACAGAAGACACAGACAAACATATAGAATAGATCAAAATTAAAGATAATCTTTTTTTTTTTAAAACAAAGAAAAAAGTAGGAGGAATGGGGAGATACAGTACAATATATTGAATGAGAAGGGAAGAGAGATGTGTAATGGAAAGGTAAATAGGGAGAGAGGTAAACAAAGCAAAGACAGATGGAAGAAGAAAATAAGAAAGAGAAGGAATGAACAAGAGAAGGAGGAGTGAAGGGGAGAAAAGACTGAAAACAACATCTCTTAGCAACAGTAACATTTTCAATCATGTTTAATAATTCCAATAATCACGTGTGTATCATGCATATTTGTGTGGGCATGTAAACATGTGCGTACATCTACTGTGAATGTATACACTAGTATGACTGCTCACATGCATTGCTCACGTTCCCTTCTATTACTCGGTTGGTTCCTTTATGAATAGCTGAGCTGGAAATGTGCCCACCAATGTAGAAGTGCTTAGTAAGGCCCATCCTCCGTGGCCATCAGTAGAAATGCTATGTGTGAAATGTCAAACATAATGCTCTGGTTGGAGGATAAAAGCTATATTTCACTTTGGTGGAACAGCTGCTCTGTTCAGCACACATCTCTGTAAGAGCTCAAGAGCAGTGAACTTCTGAGATTAGATGCCCTGGAGTATCTAATCTAACCAACCTTTTGTCTTTTTATCCATGGTTCAACATAGGACTTTATAAAGGTTTTTATTCCGAATACATACACATTGATGGCAATCCAACAAACTGAATTTAGTATCAATATCTCAGAATCACAGATAATTACTACAAACCTGTTTAGTTAGCAAAGTTCCTGAAGTACTGCTAACTTCAGCAGATCTTATAGTGAACTTAAATGCCAACCATTATTTTGTTTGATAATAAAATAATACTGACTGTACTACATTAGCCTTTAAAGTCGACTTAAAACTAAAAGTGACAGTTAATAGCAATATTTTAACATTTTACGCTTATTAACTTTCTGTTAGATGAGAATACTGATACCACTCTGTAGGTAGTCTGTAGGTAAATATAAGGCTACGGCCAGCAGCTGGTTAACTTAGCTTAACAAGCCTGACTCTGTCTAAAAGCAATCACTGCGCCCAGGCAAGAAATATTCTGGTACATAACCCCCATAAAACCACTGACAGAGCCGAGCTGTTTCTGCCTGTTTCCAGTCTTTTGAGCTAAGCTAACCAGCTGCCGGCTGTAGCCTTATATTTACAATACAAATATGAGAGCTGGTCTTATCATCGAGCCCTTGGCAAAAAAGCATCTTTCACAAAATGTCAATGTGCCTTTGATTTAACATTTAAAGGTCCAGTGTGTAGGACTTAATGGCGGTGACGTTGTAACAACTGAATATCGCTCGCCTCATCCTCCACATGTAAGAGGAAGCATGTAAGAGAAACTATATTGCCCGTGAAACTCACATGCTAAAGGCCCTAACTACAGCCAGTGTTTGGTTTGTCTTAGTTCAGCGCTACTATACAAACATTCGGTTCAACACGGTGGATTCCGTAGAGGAGACAACAATTTTCAGGTGATTATACACAAATGAAAACATATTTGTGAGTATTGTATTTAGATCCTCCTAAATGTTACACACTGGACCTTTAACACAGTTGCCAGGCCAATGTTGACGTGATATTCAACAATGATGTTCATATGCCACTGGTACTAAACACTTATTTAATACCATACCATGACTTGTGGTACTCACGTCTCAGGGTCGTACTGTCCTGGACCTGGTCCCTCCTCCAATGTCACCTCACCTCTCCTCCCTGTCATGTTACCGAAGTGCACTCCTTTATACTTCTGGGCAGAGCTCATCTCTGACTACAGAAAGAGAAAGAGAGAGAAAAGACAGACACCAAGAGAGAGAAGGTGAGGAGTGGATGAAAGAAAGGATTGGTCAGGGAGAAAGAATGAGAAAAAGAAGATGACAGGAAGAGGGAGAGAACAAGATAACAAGAGGATAAATGGAAGAACAAAGAAGGAGAAAACAGAATTGACTCATTCACACTTATCTGGTTTCTCTTCCAGCCAGGGCTCATAAAGTTGGGGCTGAATGAAATGTGAAGTTCAGCCAAATGCCAGAGTATGTCAGAGATCTAAGGGAGACCCTCCGTCCTTTCTTATCTCTCTGAGTTTTACAGCCTGCTCCCACTGCCTCTGGCCTTTCAGACAGGACCAGTTCACTCTGCAGCTTAATAACTGAGAGAGGCTACGTCTGGAAATGAGCTGGCCAGCTGTCGCCAAACACATTGTAGAGACACCATCTGTGAGATTTTCTAAAAAGCATATAGCAAGCTGCAAAAGAATGTAAAACTACACACGACTACAGGGTTGTGAATTCCTGTTCTATTCTTTCTTAGAAACAGGTTGGAAACAAGTTATTGATCAACAAGACTAACAGTCTTTAGCCACGCTAGTGACTGTGAGGCTATACTTAGACAAAATGGGCTAAATTCAGCATGAATAAAAATGCTTTATTTATTTTCAATTCTGGCTTGCTCAAAATAAATTGATAAAAATGTCTTATTCTTAGATAACGAAACAAAACGATTCTTATTATCAGGTGATTTTACACTAATGAAAACATACCTATGAATTTTGTATTCCATATCTGCCAATAGATCCTCACACTTACACACTGGACCTTTAATGTTAATGTGATACACAAAGAAAGCATGGCACTGGAGTTTTTAAAGACCAGACTGAGTTTATGAGCAATGGGAGACCCAAATACACCAAATGTTGTAAAATGTGTAATTTTTGGTACACTTAACAGTTTGGTTCCCAATTTGCTTCAATTCACATTCTTGAAACTAAAAGAAGTCCGCAGCTTGCCCCTCAAAAATAAAAACACCTGTACTGAAATGAGACATTTCCAACTTCCCTCATTAAATCACAAATCAAGGCATTTTTCATTTCTAATTTGACCCAACCGTCTGTGTCTATTCTATGAGGCAGGTCATGGGAAGACTGGCAGGGAGTCTCAAAAAGTTTCTAACTCCATGTGGTGGCTGTCTCCTTCTCTCAACTTCAATAGTGACTGGAGGACGAGTTCTGAGGTTCGGTCCCTTGTGATCTACCAATCCAGTTATGAGGAGGGGAGATAGGAAACAAGGTTGTTCAGATGCTTAAAGTTAAAAAGAAAAACTGTTCTGCATTGCACACACACACATACAAACACTGTGATGGTATCACAGTTGGCATTGAGTTCAGAGGCACAAATTGCCTATTTAAGTCAAGGAGAGCTTTTAAAAGCAAAACAAAAACACAGCTAGTGGGTATAAACATATTCATTCAGCTTTGATAAAATGGAATGGCAGGCTATTTATTATTTAAATGAGAGTAAAAAAGTCGACCATAAATAAAGCTTTTTGTGAGTAGGGTTGTGTGTGGGCAGCATGCTGCAGGCGGAAATGGTTGGTGTGTTTATTAGAAACATATGCATAACACAGTCTGGGTGTAAATCTGATTCAGGTTCTATTAAGAGGACAATGTTGTCTGTGTCTCCATTTCCATTTCTCATCTCCATGCCAAACACATTATGACAGATACATGATTTCTGGGGCAGGGTATTCACAGATAAACATTATAATAGCATACGGACTTCGTGATAAAAAAGAAACTTTGTGACCAACAAATGGCGGACAAATACTGAAAAAAAAAAAAAAAAACTGAATACATGAGTGAGGAAACATAACAAATGCATTCACTGCCGTACAGAGCACAATGCGTCACTGAATGGTTTGATAAATATGAAAACAGACTTCAACTCAAGCAAATACATATTGGAGATTTTAAACCATCATAGACCATTTTTATAATACTAAATGAGAGAATATATTTAGGAAGAATCATCACTCCAGTAATATAATTGCACACACTTCCTATTACAATCTAATACTACACCGTCTGAACTAACAACATATCTCATGGTGATAATTAGCCCAAATGCTTTTAACAGTATTATTTTAGATGTCAGCCATCATTACATGCCTCTACCAATATATCTGTGATAAGCCAATTCCGCATTCTAGCCTGTCTCTAGTTCTGTCTACTAACTTAAGAATCGGTCGATGCAGTAATGTAATTGCTCTGTCAATACAGAAGTGAACCATGAGTTTGGGGTCACTGGATAAAACTGATTAAGATGTTTTTGTTTTTATCAGTACCATTCAGACAGAAAACACAGCTATTCTCTTTTCATTTCTGGCTAATGTCTTATCATTCAACGGCTGCCCCGGTCACTTTGAAGTTACGTCCTCAGACAGCCACTTAATTCCGCCTCCCCACACTTTTGAACTCAGTCGGCGCACGGGGCAGGGGAACAGTTTGAGTTTAAAGAAATGAGCGTGTCAGATGGAGAGACAGAAGACAGACAAAAACCGGGGCTGAACTTTCAAAGGGAGAGCAACAGAAGTCGAGATGGAAAAAAAGAGCTGTGGATGGATGCACTGCCGGTAACTTTAAATCACAGCCCGCCTCTGTGCCTGCGCCGGTGTGTTGACACAACCTCGGCCAACACTCAAGGACGCTGTTGACTTCCTGTGGTCATTAACAGATGAAAAATGACTTAATTGAGAGCCAGACCAGCAGGCGTGTGCATTATTTTAAGTGAATATTGTAATATAGCTTGAAGAATAATTACTAATGGCTCTCTTTGTTGGCATGTAAAATGGATGAGCATTGGTGTGCTTGGGCTTTTTTTAAAGTAGAGCTGCATTCATTAGCTATGGAAATGGGTTTTGGGCCAACTGAATCGGGTGGGGTGGGGGTTCAGTGGTGCATTAGATCTGCCTAACACTAATGGACCTCGCCTTGCGGGCAGAGTAAGTACACTCAGACACACACACAGACTAATGAAAGCACACATGCATGCACAAATTAACACTTCACATTCTCTGATGGATGTACATTCAAACTCCAACATGAGTGTGCACCCTTGTGTGTGTGTGTCTTTGTGTGAGTGTGTGTGTGTGTGTGTGTGTGTGTGTGTATGTGTCTGTGTCTGTGTGTGTGTGTGTGTCTGTGCGACCGTTCTTACTTGCAGTGGTTTGTAGTACGCTGGCCCAAGGGTTGTGTCCCTGTGAGGGGGCTGCTGCTTGCTGAGCACACCCAGGGCGTCCTCCTCATAGCCATAGGCCTGGCCCGGGGAAGGAATGGATGGGATTTCTGACTGACGAACCAGCCGGAGACTTTTAGCCTGCAGCCACTGCGTGGAGAGAAAGACAGGGAGAGTGGGGAAGAGAAGGCATGGTTTGTGATGGAAAGGATGCCCTGGCTTACAAAGAAGCTGAACATTGCCTGGGGCCAATATAGTGAGAGACTGAAGGAGGGACAGAGAGAGAAGGAGCGAGGGGAGGCAGAAAATAACAAAATTGAAAATGGAAAAGGAGAAAGAAAGAAGGAAAAGGCAGAAGTAGAAGTGCAGGAATAGGAACGATATCTGCGGAGGTAACAGGCAATCAAGGCCATCTCAGTCAAAATGCATCAAAGCTTTCTACTAACTTTCTAGAAGTAAGATGTGCTCTTCAGATAATTACAGCCAGCAAAGAGGGAAGAGAGTGTGAGCATATTACCTCTCTTTCACAATTGGTCAGGTCTGGAGGTGAAAGTTTTTAAATGCTCCATTCACTGTATAAAGTGAGTTAATGACATCAGATAAAAGGCCTGAGCTCAGCTTTAACTTAAAGCTTAACCAGACTATGTGTGTATACTCTGGACATAAATTTAACATAGTAGGCAAATGAAAAGAGCTATTTTATGTCATCTCAGTTCACTGCAAGGCTGTTTCACTACTTTAGCATCACTGCTGATGAAGCTGGGGGCTACTGGAGAGGCCACATTATCCAAAATTCAAAAATCCAAAGTTCATATATCAGTATTTAGTGAGTGATTAAATTGTTTGCTTGCTTTGTAGGTGCTTTGTCTTAAAATGTCAAACCACCTGAGACATTATCTTTCACAGTAAACAGGAGGGAGGGTTCGCTGTGCCAAATGTTAAACGAACAAAAGCTACACGCCTCTTCTATTTGTTCAATTTGATGAATAACATTGATAAACCTGTCAGGAGTTTATCACTGCTATTCATTGTTGTTTTTGGGCAGCAAACACAAAAGGGTGTGCAATGTTTCAGGGGGCCTTACAAAGAACAGAGGTAAAATGAAAACAGGCTTCAGGCTTTAGCTTGAATGTGTACGAGCTGACCCTGCACAGACTTTGCCACTGTTACAGCTACTGAGGATATTGTACAGAAAATGGCAAAGTCAACCTAATGGCACTTTTTTTTTTTACCCTGTTACAGTGGCAGAAAATACATGTCAGACAACTTCTTATGGCATCTCGCCTGTGCTTCAACTCATTCAAATTTCATTTTAGAGATCAATTGGTCACTTTGGAACTGTTAAGATCAAGTTACAGGATTACCGGACTGGTGGGTCTTGTACAGTTTTGGGTTCCTTATAATGATGATCATAAACTTATTACTTGTGTTTGTTGCATATTATAAATGAGGCTTCACATTACAAGGTGGGATATAATGTCCGACTTATTAAGGACAAAAGATATCAGATTCTACCTTTCCTTTGTTTCACCGTCCATGTTCAAAGTATTCCTTTCTGAATGTGGTAAGTTTTCAAATGTTAAAGCAAATACACCAGATGGTGTTCTTTTTATAAGAACAATTAAGAAGTGACTGTTTGGACAAAAGTCTAGAAACACTGTTTCCCACAGAGGTTTTAAAATAGCAGCCCCTAATTCCCATAGATTGGTGTTAAGGGCTAAGGTACTGGCAAGGTACTGTCTGCAAGTATTGGCAGTCACCACGTTTGGAGGAAGCGCTGCTATTCATATCCTTTGTTTGACAAAAGGCATAAATACAACACATCACAGTGAACTGCGATAAGGAGAGTTTTACATGTTACTGTATTTTTATTGCATGTGTGAAAATAAAAGTTGTTAACTGTTGTTGTACTGTATGTGTAGTGCTAACAGAACATGAGACACAAGTGTGCTTAAATTGGTTAGATGGGGACCAGAGGGAAAAGGGTGACGTCTCACAGAACAAAAGGATATCTGGGTAATATGAAACTGATAAAACACGGGATAAAGTTATTTAAACGTCAAGAGTAGAGATATATACCGACAGTACAGAAGTAAAAAGTCTGCACCCCTAAATGTCATGCATATATTTTTTTGTATAGGCATTAGGTGACTTTTTGAGCAGCAGTTTTCTACATATATTACTCATATATACAAAGGACATACTGCATAAAAGCCAACTTACTGTGGCTGTTATACAAGCCGGAAGGAGAAAATCAATAATAAATCATTTTCTGTAACCTGACTGCTCATTTACTTTGTCCTCATAACTTCACCCATATGCCTACCATTTTCCTGCCAAGCTTCTCAGCCTGTCCTGCATCAGCCGTCAAGGCCCTGAGCATGTTTCCTGAAGCAGGCAGCACATCGTAGGCCCCGGGGCCTGGAACCTCCGACACCACCTCCTCAAAACGCTTGGAGCGATTCTGGAGACTGCGGCCACCGTGGATGTTTAGCTGTAGAGATACGGGTTCAACAGAGAGACACACAGATTCAAAAACAAATTCTTCCCCTTGCTCTCATCCGGTATTATAGGCTGCATCTCCAATGCCTTCCTAAATTAATAGTTTTGTGTTTTGACAGGAAAAAGCAATTCAGTGGCTGCTGGGCGGACAAATTAGTTGTTACGCAAACAATTTTACCACAACACACATTGCCTCTCCTCTATTGGTATCTTCTGCGTTAAATGGGTGAAAATATTCTGACAAAAATGCAAAGTACTGTGTTTTTCTTCCCCGGTAGAACCAAAGCCCACACAGCCTCACCTAACCCAGTATATGGCTCTCATGTACACCAAGGTCTTCTTGATGTAATTGTATGTAAATGACCTCCGCTGACCTACAGTACCTTCACAGGTGAGTAGGTATACTGTCCAGGTGCTGGTATCCTCTCACTGGACTCAATGAATACTGGCTGTCTGTTTGTCAAGGACAGGAATGGAGCAAAGCCATCTGCAACACAGAAAATCATGCAAAAGGTAGAATACGTGACTCACAATTGTCGTTCTTTAACTTCTACAGCAGATGGACAGGCTTGGCAATCAGTAATGGTTTGGTTGGTTTGGTTAACATGGTTTAATATATTTCATGGCACATGTATGGAGTTACACTGCCAGATGTATTCATTTGCCATTCATACGGGGTGTGCTAACATTATGAATCACTGTATATTTATATTATATCACTGTAAAGTACTGACAGCAGCTTAACGTCTGGCAGGTAACTGGTTGGTTTTAGTAACCTCTCTGCGAAAAATTGAAAGAAGTTGGGTTTCTGTATTTAAAACTAAACTCGATTAGCCTTCAGTTGTTGTTTTTTTTACTCAAGTTTTGAAGGTAGCTACCTAACAAGCAGCTCTTTCCTACCTGTTTTAGCAGTGGACAGGGGGACATCGTAGGATCCGGGGCCAACTGTAGACGAAGTACCGCTCGTTGGCAAGAAGGTCACTCTTCTCGGAGCTCGGCTGTACATTTTAACTTCTCCCTGCCTCAAACAGACTGCTAGCTTAACTGGAGTTCATGTGGACAGTGTGGACACCTGCTAGAGTCGACCCACGACTGAAATAAAGGTCTCACCTAATTACATTTGATAAGCCCAGAGGTTTAAAACACTCCTTCACCGCTGTCTTCACAGTACGGTCTCTCTACACTCTGCCTTATTGGCGTGCGTCGTTGCTAGGATACCACGTAGGGTTACACAGCGACTGGCGTCAGAAAACAGACGCAGAGAAACCAAAGGGACCAAAACTTTAATGTTTGTAACTCTAATAATCTACGTTGCCATTGTTACCATTACTAGTTTTTCTAAAATATTAATAATAATAAATAATAAATGATAAATAATAAATAATAAATAATAATAATACATCTATTTTATATAGCGCTTTAAAGGGTATTAAAGGCACTTTACATGCTTTTTATTTATCTTATGTATGATCCATAAAGGTGCTGTATAAATGAAGCTTTACTTAGTTACTTACTTACAACAGTAGAAACAGCCAAGGCAATATCAGTGTAGAAATAACTACTATAACAACAACTATGAAGAGGAGAAGCAAAACAGCATGAAAACAAAACAAAAACATAAAGAAAACAGGTGGGGCAATAAAAAATGAGAGATGGGGGGTGGTGATAGATCACAGATAGCATTAAATTGATGAGTTTTGAGTGCAGTTTTAAAGGATGTGAGGGAGGGAGAGTGTCAGAGGCAGGCCATCTCCCCCCCAGGGTCCAGTGTTTGGACCGGGTGAGAGAGGTGAGGAGGTGGTCATTGTGAAATCATCCTAATTCATTTTCACCTACTGCAAAATGTCGTCCAGGTATGCTATTATACAGTAAACCTCATATTTTAATGGTTAATGTTGTCAGGGTGCAACCGTGGTCCAATCCTACCATCTAGTGGGTGACTCCTGCCATCCATTCCTCTTCCCCTAAAGTGGGCCAGTTAGTACTCATTTAAAGAGAAAAATTACTGAATATTCATGGTCCTGTGATTTCAGCAACACGGCTTGCTTGTTTCTCTGTTCCTGCATTTGGCCTTATTGTGCCACTTTTGTCGCCACTCCTGTTATCATTATTTGCAGTCTTGACCTACTTCCTCCTGCACCATTAGCCTGCCCTACAATATAGTCAAGATTTGGATAATGAGAACTCAGGGGAAAGCCATCCAAGTATCAAGTGGCCTCTCTGGAACAGCAGTGAACTGTATCTTTATTTGAACTTCCTGTCATGTCTCATAAGCAGGGATGGTCTGCACACTGGTATTTGACTTGGCAAATGTTATCAATGCCCAAGAGGAAAACTTAGTCAGACACTACGCCATCCAATAAAACAACAAAAACAACAACAACAATCAGTGGAGACAAATATTTCATTTAATTAATGATATGATTACTCTAACTGTGGTGGGAAACTTTGTCACAGGCCAATATTAATCAGTCAACCTATAGCTCATTAGAATATTGTCCTAAAACCTTCATTACAATTTCTCACTTAAGAGTTTCCTCCCTTCTACCACCTCTGACTGAAAACTGCACCAGTGAAAGAAGTACTACTGAAAATGCCATTAAGATGTTGAGCATATTATCTTATTTGTTGTCTTTTCTAGGGAATCTGGGTTAAGAAGAAAGCATTTTCGAATGGACCACCCTGAAAAACAAGGCATGTAAACATTTATGCCTCAAATTAGGTAATTTTCCAGTGAAAATGTATGATGAGTTGGAACATTAATAATGTATCTCCTTATGAAAAAAAAAAACACAAACAGCAGATATTTTGCTAAAGCAGTATTAACATGAAAGGTGAATAACTTACAGTTTAGGAATCCACAATAATAGGAATATTAGACGAAATTAGGTATAATTGAGTGCATAGCTGAGAGAGTAGTTTAGTTTCTAACAGATTTATGACTATCACAAGACATGGGGTTTATTAAACTACAATAACAGCTAAATATATTGAATAATTTTGGTTGGCATATTAATTCCACAGTTACAGACAAAGGTAAAGGGAGACACAACAATGCAGAGCCACTGCTTTGTCCAAGCATGAGAGACATAAAACTTGACGTACAGGAAACCATTACAGAGATCCATGAAGAATACTTAATGATCAGTGCTGGGCAATAACTGATTTTGGGGAGAAGGGACACAATTACCAATTTCGTGAGGAAAGTAATAACTAACTATTATCAGAATCAGAATCAGAAATACTTTATTGATTCCGTTACACTTGTTCTCACACAGTGTTAAAGCAATAGTACTTATAGACAATATCTAACACAATATATAGAATAGAAATGAATGTATAGGTATATACATAGAGTAAAAAGTAAAAATAAAAATGGAAAACTAAGTTTTGATCTGAAGACACATGCGTTCGACATGCATGTAGATCTAGTCCCCTGTTCATAAGTGGCAATAGTTGACATCAGGACTCTTTTTTCATTGTGTTTTTGTGTTATGGGTGCATGCATCTGGCCTCACCCTACTTCCGAAATGTGTGTGTGTGGGTGTGTGTGGGTGTGTGTGTGTGTGTGTGTGTGTGTTGTGTGTGTGGTTGTGTGTGTGTGGTGTGGTGTGGTGTGTG